GGACAGAGGTTTCGACAAATGAAAAGAAGGGAGCATATTGGCGGGGCAATCTTGTGTTTTAATGGCTTCCCTTTCCTGTTCCTCTTGTTTCTCGCTCTAGCTGATGCGCAGAAACCCGGATAAGCGCCTGGGTGCCAGCGAACGTGATGCGGAGGATGTCAAGAGACAAACCTTCTTCCGGGTAACGCTGCCCCGCTTAGCCTGAGAATGTGCTAGAATGTTCCGTGGCGCTCCCAGCTACTGGCTCCTACACTAGCAGTTCACTTACAGGCGCTAGTCGTTGGCTGCACAGACGTGCTCTCTCCTATTTACTCACTCCGTACTTCTAGTTTTTCTTTTCCTTCCTAGATGGTTGGGGCTATTCCACGGTAACTGATGCCGCGTTTGTACTTTCCTACATTGATAACGCTGATTCAGTGTCAAGTCATTTATGTCTACTTTAAATCATCAGAACATTTAAAAGACATTAAGAATCATTTTAAATGCATTCATTTGAAAGAAAAATACTTGATGCGAGTTCTGTGACTAGTTTAGTTTCGGTAACTGATGGACTAGTGAAGAATTGTTTTCCTCCCCGTCAGTCACTGAAACTAAATACTTCACAGAATTTGCCTAATGTATTTTTTTTTTTTTTTACCCTGCATTAAATATGATTCTTAATATGTCCTTAAAATGTTCTGATAATTTAGCATTGAAATCCATCAATTAATATTGCATTCCAGAGTGATGGTTGTAGGAAAGTACAGTCCAAACATCCTGTCAGGTACCGTGGGAAAGTCTTTTTGTGTTTTTGGTTTTTTTTCCTTACTCGTTCTTTTCTCTCTTAGTAGTTGTATACTTTTTTATACTTTGAAATATACCATTTGTTCTCAGTTGTAATCCTTTTCTTTGTTTAGTCGTGGATATCATTTCGAGTCAATGTTTGACAGAGCTTACTCCTGTCAATGTTTCACATAGCTTACTCCTGTCTATACAGGAACTGGTTCAATTCTTTTCCCTCTTTCCCCTGTCATGGTCAGTCTATGGGTTTTTTCAAAGTCAGATTTCCATTGAAATTGGAAAATGTGTTGAGGGTGTAGTGAAAGGGCTGTAGAGGGAATGTTGACATGATGCAAGGAACTCGTATTTTTCCACAACAATTGAGGCGAAATTTAAAAACTTTTCTTCACAAATTTAGTAATAGAAATGTCCATCAAGCGGACAATGAGATTGTTCACAGCACTTCCCGCTTTTCACAATTTTGTAGGTACATATGGCCAGCGTCACAGCTCATCAGTGGCACTCTGTAGTGGCAAAACTTGTTAATAGACATTCATTTTATAGTGAATACTATTTGTGCACTCAGAACATGCCTTCAATAAGCATCATGTTGCAATTTTTTTTTAAAATGACAAACTTGCTTTTAAAAGCGATATTGTCCCAGCTGTAAACCTTTTAAAGTCTGTGGAAGCAAAAGTTTGGAATTTTTCAAGAATCTATGACTGTCCCCTTTTTTTTTGTAAATCGACATTTTTTTCCCCTTAGAAATAAATGGTAAAGAAAAAAGTGTGCTGGATGAGCTGTATATTGCTAGTGATATTGTAGAGAGGCGGGGGTGGTGGGCTTGTAAGTGAACTGTGTGTGTAGGTGGGAGCTGTGGGCCGTGTTGTGATAACACACTGACCTTTGATGTAACAGCCAGCTCCCCCGTGGCGACACGTGTAGCACGCTGCCGGCAGATGTGTCCCACGCTTATTCTGTTCTGTGTTTGTGTGTCGGCGCGTTCGTCGGTGTGTACGTGTGTGTTTGCTTCTTCCATGTTCTGGGTGTTTTCTGCTTTGACGTTTTATTTTAAGTTTTTTAACACCTGATTGAATTTGCCAGATTTTTGGTACAATTTTTGTTGTTGTATTACAAAATGTTGGTGAGATGTTTTATGAGACAAACTAGGAAGTGGTCAGCCTTTGTGGGTGGTTGGAGGGTGGT